GAGAAATGAAACCTTTAGTACGTATGGATTTTAAGGCTTTAGATATGGGCAGCGTAACGAGGCTGTAAAGCAGGGGTGCCGATGGGTCGCCTTGGTGCAGCCCTTCTTCTGACTGGATGATGTGCTCCCCAAAAGCCAAGGAGGTCGGTTTGCCGTAGCATTGGTTAAAGAATGGAAAATATTCTGGCATTTCGTTCTTCACCGTTTCCAGAATCTTGTGCCGGTAAACACAATTAAATGCATTTGCGAAATCTAGCTTGACAAGTACACGGCATTCACCAAACAAAACAAACAAACAAACAAACAAACAAACAAACAAACAAACAAACAAACAAACAAACAAACAACAAACAAACATGCGTGTCGCGTGGATAGCAGCTTCAGCTCCCCCTTTCACGCCAAATCCGACTTGGTGTGGGAACAACTTTTCTACCATTCTTTGTTTCACTCTGCGGCAGATTATTTTAGACGCAATACGCCTGATGGTATTACCTACAGCTATGGGACGAATTCCGCCATTCGGTTTCTGGAGACCAGTGAGGGTTACGCCATATAGTGAGGGGAGGATTTCATCAGGCACGCCCCCCGAGATCATCTTCGTGACGGCGCCTGAAAGTGTGCTCGTTCGTTCCATGTCCCAGGAGGTCTTTCACATGTTGGGGGCGCATACCAAACAGAGCTCCTGACTAACCGTGTGGGAACGAACGGAAGCCATCGAGTATTTCATCGGTAGTAACGTCAGAGATCAAGAATTGTGCTTGTTTTTATCAACCGGTGTCGCATGGGCACACACCCGAGGATGCTTCTCCTGCAACAACAACGCCGATTCTTGGGATGGACGAATAACGTTATCCGTCGAACATAGGGCTTTAACTGCCGCCGAAATAGCACAGTCCTGGAACTTGCTGTTTACTCTTCGTGCAATGGCTTCGTCAGGATTGAGTGCGGCCTGTCGGGGAGGGTTGTAGGAGACGGGGGCGCCCCACGGCCATTGAGATTGAGTCGCATCGCAGCCGTTACTGATAACTTGGTTTTGTCTGGTGGTAGGCGAAATATATCGAACGCAAATGTGCTTAACTTCATCCATGCCTCCGGTGTGTTGTCTGTACTGCATAGAGCATGTGATACTCTTTTATCGTTGCATATGTTTGTTTTCTTACGGGCTGAGGGCAGCCCTTGTTGCGAAGAGGAGCATGTGTCACGGTATACACTGTAACCGCCTATTACGGCAGCCAGACAGGAAAATGCCCCTGCTAATGGATTTCGATCTGGAATATCAGTGTCTCTGATCTGAATTATCCATTTTTATGTATTTTCTCCCATTTATGAATGAAAGGTATTATTTAGGGACACACCATGTTTCCCCATATTGAAGATTTATAGTGTAACAGTAGCCGATCTGGCTGCTGTTCTGGTGGGTTGGCGTGTTGACCGTACCACGATGTTGTGTGGGCTGTTGGGATGAAAGGTTGGCACGACCGGCAACGGCGCGGTCGTGGACGCTCTTACTGAGGTAGCACAATTACTGAACGTAACAACGGAAGTTCACGGCATGTTTAATGACAAGAACAATGCAACACAGGGAACAAGGTTTAGGCAAGAGTTTAACAAGCAGAACAAGCTGATCAAGCTGATGCAAGCTGTAACAAGCGAAGGCAAGACTGAATTCTAGAAATTGTGAAGAAGAACAGCTAGCCGGTAAAAGGACAGAAATTCATAACGCAATGATGAATCATAACTGGGTGGTCTTATGGTTGTACAACTTCTATCGCTAAAATAGGATATAGGTAGCACTACCTATGACAGCAGTGATTCAGACAAAGTAAAAGTTCTTCTGAAGATAGACTTGAAGAATGCCTTAAACTGCATTTCCCGCGCCACCGTTATGGAAGTTGCAAGCGTTCATCTTCTCGAATAGGCGAATTACTTGTGCCATTATTCGGAACTATGGCCATTATTCGGAACTACACCACAAAGATGAAATTCTGTCCTTGCAGAGCGTCAACTACCAAGGCGATCCACTTCGTCCGCTGTTATTTTCTCTGGGAATTCTTCCACTTACATCCGCGCTCAAGGCAATGTTTAATGTGTGGTTTCTCGATAACGGTACACTTAGTGGATGTGTCGAGACAGTAGCAGCGGACTTTCAGACTGTCATCGAAACAGCACACGCAGCCGGCTGAGCGTCAACATGTCTAAGTGCGAGATATTTGTCTGCGGAGGGACCTGCGATGAACGGGAAGCGGCGGTGAAAATCTTCTTGGACCGTTTTCCAACTGTGCGCTGCCCCAGATAACTTTTGTCTGTTGGGTGCTCCATTGATGAAGATCGGCATCACGTCGGCGATACAACAGAAAACGGAAGTTGTGCGCCTAACTGATAATCGTCTCAAACTGTTGCCCAAACATCAAGCGTAGTACTTATTGAAGTACAGCCTCAGCGCGCCAAAGGTTATTCACCTTTTACGTTGCCGCCAAACCTTTGAAGCACGAGACCGTCTCTGCGAGTTTGACGACGTCTTGAGACAGTTGTTGCAATCAATCTACAACGTGCGTATGGATGCATCCGCGTGGCGTCAAGCTCCCTTGCCATTGCGCTGTGGTGGGCTCGGGATCCGACGGGTAGAGGAATTATCTTTGCCGGCCTATTTGGTCTCGATTCACGCTACCCAAGGCCTCGTTTGTCGACTATTACCGCATTCGGTAGGAGTGGACGTCACGGATCACGTGGCCCTTTGGAGGTACATGTCCGACGATGCATCGCCTCCTTTACCCGAAAGCCGTCACCAGGAACGGGCATGGGACACTCCGTATTGTTTGGTAGAGCAGGCAACCATGCTGCACGAAGCTTTGGATGGCGCTAGCAAAGCTCGGCTGTTAGCTGTTTCGACTCGGGAGTCAGGCGCCCGGACACGCGCACTTCCATCGTCTTCACTCGGAAACCTTTTGGATGATGAGTGGTTTTGGATCGCTGTCGTGATTCGGCTTGGCGCACCGTCATCATCCGATCACCAGTGCAAATGCGGAAGCGACGTTGTTGCAGACGGCTACCACGGCTTGAGCTGAAAATTTTTAGCGGGAAGGCGGGCTAGACGCGACTGCATTGACGACATGTTGCGCTGCGCTCTTGAATCAGCAGGCATACCCGCAAAGACTGAACCGAGAGGCATGCATTATGAAAACGAAACACGTCCCGACGGCATCACTACTTTCCCATGGACCAGGGGACTGTGTTTGCCATGGAATGTTACCTGTGTTGATACTGTCCCCCGCTCGTATTTGGATCAGACCAGTGTAAAGGCCGGAGCGGCAGCATACCATGCCGAAGCTGAGAAAGCAAGAAAGTAGAGTTTTCTGTTGGGCGCTATGAATTTATGGCCGTCGGTTTCGAGACTTTCGGTAGTTTTGGCACATCTGCCAAACGATTTGTTAACGAAATCGGGAAGAGGATTTCACAACAAACCGGTGAGATTCGTCGTCATGAGTTTTTGAAACAGAACATCTCTTCAGCAGTTCAACGTGGTATTGCTGCTTCAGTAATCGGGACCGTTGAGAATGTTGTTTTGTTTAACCGTAATTAGATCTTGCTTTTGTTATCGCGCTATTGAATTAAATCACAGATGACCATAAAGATGCTAAGAAAGTTATTGGCCCAACATAACCACACTGACCGGCTGGAAGGTGAGAGCGCACTAATGGAATCCACCAGGAGGAGCGTTGGGACCAGGGATTCTGCAAAGTTAGAACGTATCATCCAATTGATCTAGGAAAATGGTCAGTTTGACCCGGAAATCATGTGTCGAGCAACACGAAAAGTCCGCCGATGCCAGAAAAGAAGCAGAACGCGGTCATTCACATAATTTCTGCGCACCTTTGCAGAAATGTTATTGCAAACTAATCCAGAAAGAACTTCAAAGAAGACTTTTCGCAAGCAGATAGTGGGAACTCATAGGCTGTTTCGCAGATTTTTGACTTAAAATGTCGGCCCCTTACGGTGTACAGCGTGCTCAACCGCGAGCACGGATATAGGTTATTAGTAACGCAAACTCGGTCTATCAGTTGAAAGAACTCCTTCCTCGTACCTATTTAGTTGGTGATGCACATCGCTTCCCAAAGGAGATGACCTTTTGGAGCCAATATAACTAATACTAATCCCTGATTAACCACCCATGTAATACGACGCAAGGGAAGGTGAAACGAAAAATTTGGCATGAAAAATATCTGAGGCATCCATAATATAACCCCCGTAAACCGAAAAAGATTTCCCACTGAACGGAGCAAAATTTAGTACATTAGCCGCTAGGCGCGGATGTTGTGGTTGTTGTTGTTGTTGATGTTGATGTTGATGTTGTGTCAGTTGTGGTCGTGGTCGTTGGGCCAGTGGTGGTTGTAGTAGTTGGACCAGTGGTGGTTGTTGTCGTTGGACCACTGGTTGTTGTTGGACCACTGGTGGTCGTTGGGCCAGTGGTGGTTGTTGGACCAGTGGTGGTTGTTGGTCCAGTGGTTGTAGTTGTGGCGGGCTTGAGAGTCGTGGGAGGGGGAGGCGGCGGGGTAGGGGCAGGAGTGGGCGCGCCCGGAGACGGAAGGGTCGGTGCAGTTCCGGCCACTGTGGTTCCTATCCCCGAACCTGTTCCGGGTGGAACGACTCCCCGACGCCCATGAACAACTCGCTCACGTGGTGCTTGCCTGGCTGACTGCTGCCTTTGGTTTACTGTTCCTTCTATCGGCCGTTGCCTTATGTTGTCTGCTAAAACGAAATAACATGATAGAATAATGCAGCAAGCTACGGAACGAATTGCGCCTTGTAAATACATTGCTGTTTTGTGCTTTTCAAAGCGATCACGAAACAAGCCATGTGTTCTTGAAAAAAGTCATGGGACAGATTAAATAGCAGGCGTCAGACCAGCTGGAGGCTGCACGCGCGCAAGAATACCCTCAAGCATACAAGAAATCTGCCATCTTCGAGCCACAATCAGCGAACACAACAGGTACTTGAAGGATTGGATCTTGTCGCTCGCATTGTTTTTTTTCTGACTCGAAAACGCAGCTCTACCAAAACTGGAATTATTATGCTCTGTCTTGCGCTAAATGTCACAAATCTGGAGAGGAGCAACATATAAAATATAACAAAAACGTAAGTGCTAGTGAAAGCTAGTGAAAACTAGAGTTGCTTTACTTTTACAATAAAAAAATTAATAATTTTTGAGTGCATTTCCAGATTTGGATACAGTTTCACATCCTCGATAGTTGGATGGAAATTTTCAAGGGTCATGTCAAAACCTCCATCAAAACTTTAGCCGGATATCATGGATGATGTAACTGATGTCTTCTGATGTAACTCGGCAGTACGCAAAGCTTTCGTTTCCCTGGTTAACAGGTGGGATTTCTCTGCATGACGAAGAGCGCCATCCCTAATCACAGAGCGAGCAATAAGTGTAAGGAGAGTGTGCTACGTCCATTCAACCACGGGCTTGACCAATCAACCAACGTCGAAGTTCCAGCCACCCAGCCTAACCCCAACCCTCTGAACCAGGTGAAGTTTCTTTTAAAACTGTTGACTTGTTAAGCGCATCCATAAGGGACGCGTAGAGCGGTTGCTGCAGCTTTCAGATGCGTAATTTTTCGATGTGTGATATAGAAAACTCAGTAACGTCATGGGAAGATCTAGTAATTTTCTGCATATCTTGTTTTTTCTTTACTGGGTTAAAATAAGAACGACCGCAGACAATCTTTAGGGTAAGACGAAAAGTTGGTAGTACGTCACGTCCTATTGTGGCAAAAATTAACGGATATTGAATGACGTCAACTACAGTACTCGTACTCAGAGCATAATGTTCAATGTACGGCTTAAACTCAAGCAAATTAATCTGTAGCTGGCTACTAAAACGAGCTATCATGTTTTGAGTAGGTTCGAGCAAACTTGGATACGCCAAAGGTTGATTACACAATAAAGACGGATGCAAACTCTGACACTTACAGCAGATTTCTCTGCCGTTAGATAATTTCTCTCTGAATCTGACTTTCGTTAAACTGCGAAACATTTTGCTGACCATTCTGATTATTACCGTTAAATCGCTGCTGATTATTACGTGTTCAAACGGGTACAGCAACAAATGGAAGAAAAGCTTATGACAAAGCAACTGTGTTTCTGTGCTCGCGGCGGTTGTGAGGTAGTTGTACATGCAGCCAGACGGTTTCTCAACTGCTATTTTGAAGAAGTGCAAGTTGTCATTAAGTTTGGTTTTCGCAACGCGTTCAATATTTTATCAGACAGTGTTACCGTAATCCCAGCAGTCTACCAGTGGGACACTCTGTTCCAAGCTGGGGTGCAGCAAGGAGATCTCCTGCGCCTGATACTGCTTTCACTCCTTGGCAGTGGATGCATGATATCTCACATGGCACTGGCTAAGCGCACATTTGCCCTGGACGACGGAACAAAAGCGAACCCGGATGAAGGCTTTCATGCAGAAATCTGAACACACACCACGCCTTGCGCGCTAGCCGAAAACCAGCTGTCAAAAAAAGGATTCTGTAGCCAGCGCAGCTGTGCTGCAGACCGTGAAAAAAGGCAGGCGATAAAAGGTGGCACTGGCACCTGCCACTGGCAACTACCACCGGCAGTGGCAGCTGCCACTACGCGTTCTGGCAAGCGATAAAACGTGGCAAGTACCGGAACCTTGAAATGAAATAGTTATGCCATCCAGCGACAATCTCTATATAAATTATTCAGAAGGAAGTAAGTTGCAGAGAAACCTATAAAGAATACCATTTAATTACGAAACCTACTTAAGAAACCTAATTAAGAAACCTAACTAAGAACTTAAGAAACCCTAAGAAATCTACGAAACCTAAGAAAACAATTGAATAACACCAAGAAAATCACCTAAGAGACATTTGAATAATACCACCTCCATAAGAAAACCACCTGATTAAGAACCATAATTAAGAACCCTTATCAAGACAAAAGAAAACCTAAGAAACCTACGAAACCTAAGAAAACATTTGAATAATATCAAGAAAATCACCTTATCAAGAACGCTAATTGAGAAACCTAATTAAGACCCTTATAAAACTAACAAAGAAAGTTATTTGAATAGTAACATAAGAAAGCATAAGAAAACCGAAGAAAATATTTTGAACTGTACGGTTTCCGAAATGATAGGTTTCCGAAATGAATGGCTACGCGACAGATCGTCGCGGACATTTGGTTATACGGACGTTTCGTATAAGGACAACTCGTTTTTGTGGCAAATAGTCATGCGAGTGTTCGTTGCCATAAAGAAAATATTTTGAAATGTACGGTTTCCGAAATGATAGGTTTCCGAAATGAATGGCTACGCGACAGATCGTCGCGGACATTTGGTTATACGGACGTTTCGTATAAGGACAACTCGTTTTTGTGGCAAATAGTCATGCGAGTGTTCGTTGCCATAAAGAAAATATTTTGAAATGTACGGTTTCCGAAATGATAGGTTTCCGAAATGAATGGCTACGCGACAGGTCGTCGCGGGACATTTGGTTTTACGGACGTTTCGTATAAGGACAACTCGTTTTTGTGGCAAATAATCATACGAGTGTTCGTTGCCATAAAGAAAATATTTTGAAATGTACGGTTTCCGAAATGATAGGTTTCCGAAATGAATGGCTACGCGACAGATCGTCGCGGACATTTGGTTATACGGACGTTTCGTATAAGGACAACTCGTTTTTGTGGCAAATAGTCATGCGAGTGTTCGTTGCCATAAAGAAAATATTTTGAAATGTACGGTTTCCGAAATGATAGGTTTCCGAAATGAATGGCTACGCGACAGGTCGTCGCGGGACATTTGGTTTTACGGACGTTTCGTATAAGGACAACTCGTTTTTGTGGCAAATAATCATACGAGTGTTCGTTGCCATAAACCAGTCAATAATTTTTCGACTCCGCAAAAGTCGCGCGACCAAATGTCACACAACAAAACGGCTACAAAACGAGTTATTCTAAAACAAATTAGCCGCTGCGAGGAAAAACTTTCGGCGAAATATCCCACGACGAAATATCCCGCGACCGCTTGGGCTGTCACGCCATTAACACCACCAGTACTGGAACCGCTATACTTACCATTGCCAGCATCAGTGTCACTACCGTCTACCAGAACCATTACCGCAGCCGTTACCAGAACCAGTACCATCAATAGAATTACCCGGGTACTTAAGTACTTCCTTCTGAATGTTAGATAATTTATACAGAGATTGTCGCTGGATGGCATAACTATCTCATTTCAAGATTCCGGCAGTTGCCACGATTTATCGCTTGCCAGAACGCGTAGTGGCAGCTGCCACTGCCATCTTTTATCCCCTGCCGTGAAAAAGCATAAAAATGACCAGACAGGAAAATACCCAAACCAACCAAAGACGGGGACTGAATCATAAGCCCGCCCTAACAGACCTGTAGATGATAGTGTCGAAGGCGGTTAATTAAGCGATGTACTAAATGACATAAATACTGTAACTGCTGCGGCCAGTGATCTCAGCTGGAGCTTAATGAATCTAAATGTGATTTTTCATTTTCGGTGATACATTGCAGGATCGCGAAATCACAAAGGATGTTTTTATTAGGCGTTACCCGGAATTTGTGCAACCCATTGAGAGCAAACTGATATTGCTCCTCGTTGCTCCTTTTTGCATTTTTCAGGCCGGCATTTGTGTTGACATTCCTCCACGACGTAAGCGTTCTGCTCTTTAACAAATGCTCACCGAACTGACAAATCAACAAATACAACAGGAATATAATACGACAATGCGCTGGCACATCTTGCCGCGCAGTAGACCTTTTTAGAAGACCCCAGAACTGCAACGACCTACTTCTAAGCTAAGTACTGCATGCCCATCAGGCTGTTGCATTAATGCAAGTTCGCTTCTGCTGCGAAGTTGCATTGGCTACTTTGCGTTCCTTAAATGAACTATTTACTACGAGCAGTTCCAGGTTGGTTGGGCGGAGACGAACTTGATGAATTGATAGTTTTACCAAATCAGCATTAACGAACGTTAAGATGGACTTCAGTTAGGCTTCAGCATCGCCCAACTTCATCAGTTGGGCTCAGCATCGCTCGCTGTTTCCAGTGATAAGCCGGTGGTCAGAAGACGTGTGGCAGAAATAGCTATTCCAGCCTATTTGGCTTCCCGTCTTTGATCTCGGGCATCACCTCTAGAACAGAGAGTTATGAGGCGCATCAGATGTAGTAGGCATCTGCGGACGCAAAGCTGCATTTTGAAATTTGGCGGCGTACACAGCAAGTGTGGGGCAAAGCTGTTGTCCAAAAGTAAGGAAGTTATTACAAGTACGTCCTCAAATAATGTCACTCGCTGTGCGCGTTTGCTTGAAGCCGCACAGCCGGATCGTGAAAATAGCTGAACGTTGTACCTGTGCCCTTCCTTGGAACCTTGATGTCTGACGAAAGTTTCTGTATTGCAGTTGTTCTAAGAATTGGCCGACCATCCTGTAATTCTCATCACTGCCCAAACTGCCGTCTACCCGTGGACAAATACGGCCACCATGGCCTTCCTGTACAAAGAGCGCAGGACTCTTTCTTCACCACTCTTTTTTGGACGAAGTAATTCGGGAAAGTTTGGACACCGCCTAAACTCCGGCTGTACTCGAACAGCGAGGGACCAAGACCGACGATAACCTACGGCCGGACGGTGTATTGCAATTGCCTTTTTAAAAATGATTTGCGACTGACTAGAGACGTGACCTGCGCGGATACAGTAGCATCGTTCAACGTCATCAGCAGCGGCGCAAAAGCTGACTAAGCGGCCACAAAGGCTGAAGATGGAAAACGCTGGAAATATGAACATCTTGAATGCGCAGTTACCTTTGCCTTGTTCTTAAGCTTTCGAGACTTTTGGTGTACTTGGAGCAGCATGTGTGAAGTACTCTGTATTTGCGCGAACTGGGCGCGCGGCTGAAGGATGCTACGAGAGAACGACGCTCTTTTGTATTTCTGCTCAAACGTCTTAGCATTGAAGTACAAAGGAGAAATGCGCTGTCCGTAGCGTCTGCCGTTCTACGATCGGACGGTCTCAAGTTTGCTAAGTCTTGTAATGTTTCTGACTGCGATATTTAAATTCCACCTCATATCCGAATCAATAAAAAAAAGCCACTCTAAAAAATTATTGTTATCGGAAATCTTTAAATAGGTTATTCCATTTGGAAATACCTTATTTTATCATTACTATTGAGAAAATTGCAACCTTACTCTGCAAATCCACACCGCCCGTTATTGCTTTGCCACAGATGTAGACACGGCGCGGTGTTACCAGCTGATATGTAACTTTTAATTTAGGTTAGGGCTATTAATACCGCGATCTCTTAGGGTTTGCTGAATAAGAGAGCGTCTTGGTACCACAGCGATAGCAGATGTGATCTGCACCATTACTTTCTTAGATCTATGTACGAGCGCCTTTCTGCCTTTGTTGGCAGCCTCATCTACTATAGTGCCTGACATGCGATGGCGTTCGTGGTCCTGCTGCCATTACCGGGTTGCCAGGTTGGCAGTTGCATCTGATGCAAACGGGGTAACGCTAAAATGGCAACGGCGCCACGAACGTCAGAATTGTTCAGGTTGAAAATAATGAGAAATTAAAATTGGTTAGCGCAAATTTGTTAAACTTCCTGAATGACGGATATGACTACATTTTTACAATAATTTGCTTGAAGGAATAAATCACCCTTTGAAAGTTCAGCAAAATTTTGGCGCTTCTTACGATCCGATGGGATGAGAACTGGCAGAGCGCCGGACGCAAACCTTTCATCGGCTCACTGGCCATGAATTTTGCAGATGTCAGAAATAAATATACAGTTTAGAATAATTCTAACTTTACAGCTTCATAGAATTCATTGCGTGGCAAGAAGTTAAAAAAGAAAGAGAACCGAAAAGAAGTTTTTGTAAGTCGATCTTCTTTTGCCGCAAAATGTTTTTTGTGGATTCGTTTTAAGAGGTTCTTTGTCGAACGGGCAAAAATCTTTATTCACGACGTTTTAAAACCGCATTTACACATTGTGGACTACTGTCTATGTGCTGGTATCGGTTTGAGTTTCAACACCGAGGGAGCGTTCATTTACATGGATTACTGTGGTTGGGAGATGCGCCGGACACAGCAAGACTGAATGCAATGGGACCAGAAGAAAAACAGATTGTCGTCGATTACTTTGACAAGCTGGTTACATCGATTAATCCTGGAATAAATAGTCCTCCATCTAACATTCACCCGTCGTCGCAGAAACTGTCTCAAATTACTGATAGCAAAACGGACTGCATCAGCCTTGTCAACCGCTTAGAGCGACACACCATTTGTAAACTGGGGGCCTGCCTGCGAAAGAAAAACGGACAGCTGGTTTGCCGCTACGAGTTCCTTAAAGCTATTAAGGAGATTTCCGAATTGCTGGAACTTGCACGCATGCAGTAACGGTGAAATTAAATACTGACCTCTCTGAGAGAGTTAATCAGCTGCACCGAGAATTAACAGCAGAAAAAAGAAGGGTGAATCCCAATGCTGATTTGGTAGCACAATTACAGCAAGAATTGGCCATTGCGCAGCCACAGATTACCATGGCAAGTAAATCCTCAAATGCGGCAGTGTCTGTTGCCTGTAAAGACACGGAAGAAAAATTAAAAGCGGAAATCGCTCAGTCGAAAACCGATTATAACATTGCCCGTTGGGCGAAAGGAAAAGCCGAAAATGACTTGAAAACTTTAAAGCCGCAGACGAAAAATAGGGCACAGCCGTGTCTAGCATGCAATAACGCTTGTAGCCGGCAGATCTATTGGCCTGTTGACTGTTGGAGAGCCCGGCAGGAAAGTGGTTTTTCTCCCATAGATCTGCCGAATTGTACCCACAGTTCTGCCGACCCGACCCTATGCATTGCTTATGGGAACTCCAATAGATCAGCCGAACCGGCGCAACAGTGAAACTTGACACTTCCACTGAGCGTAAGCAGCTATTCATAGCGCGGGCAGGTTGCAGCATCAGATGCAGCGCACCCTTTATCATCAATCCGAGAAGCGAACGATTTGTATTAATGTCAAGCTTAATTTCTGCTATTTAGGTGAGTAAGATTATTACTGTGAAGTGAGAATGCAGGCACTGGACATGATTTATGATCAATGCAAGACGTAATCAAATATTTGAATGTAGTTACAAGTTATTATAATTCGCAATTTTATTTTCTATTTAATCTCACAGACTAAAGTATGTGTATTTATTGTCTATGTGTATTTATTAGTATGTGTATTTATTCTTTCAGATTTTTACTTAGAATTTTCTAAGATATTAAAATTAATACTGGGCTTTGCAAGGCTTAACTTACACCCACAAGATATCAAAGTAATTCAAAAACAACTTTACCAGCAATAGACTGGCCGAACTGCGCCTGTACTACATGCGCCAATAGCCCTGCCGACCCGATACTATGCATTGTCTAGTTCCCAGGGAACTCCAATAGATCTGCCGAACGAGAACAACAAGAAACTTGATGTCACCGTCGTGCGCGAGCGGTGTACTAGTGATTACTGAAAGAGCCGATGCGTTCTTGTCAAACAGTTGCGATGGACAAACGAAACAAAATAGTCGCGGTGGACAAACGCACTTTGCCTGAAATTTGCGATATTTAAAAAAATTAGGAAGGCCGGCTTGGTGACAGTTCACATTTGTCGTGCAAGGCTTCTAGGGGTTGCAATCCATCAATTTGCGGTAACTGACCTTTCAAAATTTCTAATAATGCAGAAATAATGAAAGTTATCAAAGGTGGAAACCTAAAGTGGATGCATAGTTATCCGGTATTAAATTTGCAAGTTGCAAACATACGTAAATGGCTGTCAACATTAACTAAGACCATTAATATACTCATTTGTACGTAATACATAAATTCAATTGCGGCGGTTTCTATAACTGTCTATGTGCTGCATGTACAAATTACAATAGAGTTGCAAATAAAGATAATAATTATTAGGCAGTCTCGGGGAAGCACACGCGCTCGCAAAACCTATTGTCATATCTGACAAGAACGCATAGAGCCATAGACTCGTTTAACAGACAGCGGTATGCCGGCTAGGGTAGTGTTCGACAGTGGTATCAGGTTTCATTGTTGTTCTTGCTCGTCAGATCTATTGGAGTGCCCATAGACAATGCATGGGGTCGGGTTGGCTGAAGTGTGGGTGCAGTTCGGCAGATCTATTGGTCGTTGTCTAAAAATACTTATTAATTCTGGGTGCCCAAATTTTCATGACACATCGGCAGTTAAACTGTCCTTTGTTTATGTTGCCCAAACGTTTTTCATTACTGTCACAGTTTTATCAGCGCATGTAGAGGCATAATGAACTGGTTTGTATAGTGGCTAATTTTGGTTTGTATAGTGGCTAATTTCAAGTAAAACTGTCTAATGATACTGTACGGGTACACCATCCCCAGTTTGTATGCGTTAGAATAATTGTTGTTTGGAAAATATAATTATATTCAACAAAGCAATTTGTTTTGCAATGGAATATGCGCATGAATCACGTTCAACAGAAACGCTCTCCTGCAATGATTAGACCCGGCGGTAGAGAAAGCGCGCGCTTCTCTCTGTTCAGTGCCGGTACAATATGTTTAGGCGGCTGTATGGTGTACTTACTGTATACGATGCAGCCCGGGCGTGCTATTGCCGGCTTGCGCTCCAACAGAAGTATCAAATTGCTCTGGTGCTCTGGTTCGGCTGATCTATTGGAGTTCCCATAGACAATGCATATGGTCGGGTCGGCAGAAGTGTGGGCGCATTTCGGCAGATCTATGGGAGGAAAACCACTTTCCTGCCGGGCTCGCCAACAGTCAACAGGCCAACATGTTTGCCGGCTACAAACGCTAATGCAGCTAAAGCAATAGCGCAGTCTTTGGCATTCGAAAGCCAGCAGGAAGTTGGCCGTGTGAAAGATGATAATGACAAAATCCGGAAAGAAAACAATAAAATCAGAGTACTATATCATGATCTGCAGAGCTATGCCAAGGAAAAGGCAGCAGAGGTAATCGAGTACCGCATTCGATTGCGGGGTTATACGGTTAATTAACGGTTCTATGAACCGGAAATACCTGTTGGCATAGCAGCAGTGCGGCACTGCAGGCGCCGGAGCGATATGACGGGCAGGACTTTGGTCCTTCCGATTTGAATGTATCCCACCCATATCAGCAAGTAAGTCCGTCACAGGGTACGGCGGTGATAAATAATTCCAGTGTACCATTTGCCCCGGTACTTGTGCAGTCGCAGCCACAAGTTTGTTTCCCTGCGGCCGATATCCGCTTCACAAAATGCAGGCCGGGTTGACTGTCCAGGAAATCCAAGTCAACATCGTGCCCTGGTAACGGTAATCTGCAACAGGATGCGCCTTTTGAAAATGCCATTAATAATGGCAGCGTTCATCAAGATGCGGTCGTTCACGGTGCAGTCTCACCCCGTGGTGGAAGTCCCGCTTTGTCTGTGTGTTCTAGTGATTCTCTAGAATCAGCAGTTCACTTGTTCGTTGAACAGAACAGAATAGCAGCGGAGCAGAACAAAGCACAAATAGCAAATCAAAATAAAATGCTGGGGTTGCTAATTGCTCAGAATAAAAATACTTCCAGCAGACATATGACACAGAAGCAGAGAGCAAAAAGGGAGCAAGTATCTCTCCTTTATTGTGAAGCAATAAAGCAACCAACAAAAACAACCAACAGAAAACCAATGCGGAAAAGCTGTGTGGAAAGTGGCTGCCAGCGAGCTCGGTGGAAATCGTGATAATGCCGCGGCATGCAGCAGCTGAATCACAGCTGGTACCGCAAAGCATGGGATCGCTCGTAAGCGCTGGGCCACACCTCCAAAGTGCTGAGCGAACGCTGATTGGTCAGCGTAGACAAAGTATACGCTGACGTTATCAGCGTATATGAGCGGCACGGATGGCGTGGCCATACGCGTGCGGGCGACAGAGCAAGCCACGAGAGGTGTCTACCGCCTCGAGTGGGCGGTCTCTGACAAGTGAAAAGCTGATGCACTTACTTCCGCATGAAAGTGCAAAGAAATAAGGTCCCATTCACGAATGGCTGAATAATGTCGATATGTGAGGGCTGTCGAATAACTGGGACGATGAGAGGACGTGCAGAGCAGTGGCAGCATCTTTAAGGTGATAGAACGGTTTCACTATTCCCGTTGATCCGTTTTCCAAAACTTGCTCACTTATACAAAAAAAATCGCTCTACCAGCTGAAAATGTGAGCGGTCAACAAAACATTGTCCATTCTTTGTAGTCCCACAAAAATCTGAATGCCCGACCGGTCATATTTATAGGTTTTACCAATGACAGCAATAGCAGCGCCAACTGAACCTTGCATTCAAAACACACCGACTCCGCGATTACCAATGCCTTTGAGTTTTCGCTGTGAAATTTCCAGCAGAATCATTGTTTTTATGATTGGTATTTTGGAGTCCTCTCTCTGCTTTTTCGTCATCCATCATTTACTCTTTTATCATGGATGTTCTTTGCAAGTTCTTGTCTCGCTTACATATTACGAGCCCAACGTGCCCATGTACCCGAGACTTCAACCCGACAGAGTACTGCGCTTATATTCGGCTACAGTATCTCGATGGTTAGCCGAAAACATTTTTAATGGTTATCAATGGTTATTTACAATAGACCTAGGTACCGGCTCTCGTGACGCGTACCTTTACCAACCGTGAGCCATTTCGCCCGTCAAAAAAGTTAACACACCTTTCTGCCGGCAAAAAGGTTTGATGCGGGAGTCGTGAGCCTGTTAATCTTTCTGCCGGCTGCATACGCCGTTGTCCAATACTTCGAGTAGTGCGAAAAAAGTTTTCGCAAACATTATTGATAACGCAGTGTTTTTGGAAACGATCACTAGTTGTCAATTTAAAATCAGCATAGAAGTCAGATAGGTGTGACCACTCAAGGCATTTTACTCACTACAGCAATCATCGAAAAATAATTCTCAACTGTAAGGCAAAATGCTACTTTATGGATTACTTTATTTTGTCCCAGTCTTCTACGGAAGGGAAATTTTGACCCGATATTAAGTATACACAAAGCTTTAATCTTTATTTTGTGACTTGCATGATTAGGCGGTCATGAAACTCTTAACACAATAATCATTAACTTGTGTACGAATTTCGTGTCGTGGTGTCCGGTATGCTGGGAAACAACACACGTTCCGTGTGGTAAGTGAGGATTCAAGAGTGCCGGCATGACCGGAAGTGCGCAATTACAGCTGAGTGTCTTACCTCACGTTACAGACTGCTCTCTGCCGGCACCTTCCGTTTGTGCCCGGTCCCTTCGCCCCCAAACAAGCCCTTCCTCGGTAGAAGTTTGGGTTGGTAAGCGCCACAGGTCGGATGTATCGATCCACGTAATCGCTTTTCCATCGTCCGTCTCGCTTGATCTCCTCCTTCGGCAGCGCTCGAACAACGGCTTCGGTTGCTGCTCCGATGCGGAAGCTGTGTGTACTGAAACGCATGCGGTCGGGATAGGCCTTCTAGGAGAGACTTTAAGGATCGGTCCACTCGCTCCCGTGTGAGATAGCGACCGTCGGCGTAGCGGTATAAAGGTTTGGTCCCTCCTCCTTGCATAGCCCGCTACCGGTGGTAAGCTTCGATAGCGCGCACGGGGCACACTGAGCGGTAAGTGGCGGTGAGCTCGATCTTTGTGCCTTCTGCGCACTGGTCCGTTTTCGTCCGTTTCAGGGAGACTATCGCGCGCCCGCACGTCATCTATATGTCGTTGCATGTCAAAGTTGATGCCACATCAAGCGAGGTGGACGTCTTGCTGACTAGCTCACTGACTCGTATGAACCCAAAGAACGCCATGCAGAACGCGCTCCACAGCATCCCGGCCTCTTCAGTGTCATCGTGCTCAGCAAGTCGCGTTTTAAGTATGCGCATTACATTCATCGTAATTGGTAGACGTTGGTCAGGCATCGGGCCCTTAAGCCGCTTGTATCCGTTAACCGCGCGCACGACCAGATCGTCAGTTGTTGGGTTAGGAAGGTCTGCTTCACGATGGTGATTGTGAATTGCCGCCAAATACACTTCGCATGTCCGATAAGCTGCCTTGTCCACAAAAAGCTGCGCGACAAGCGCGGCTACCGTCGCCGGAACCGCTGGAAGTGGATTTAGGCGGTTGGCAAGGCAGAATGCCTGGAAGCGGCTAATCGAGGAATCGTATGTCGTCCGGGAGGATGCGGAGATATTTGCGCCAAGGAGGCGCTGTAGAGTCTGGTTTGGCCGTAAGAATCCTGTAGGCTCCCAAAGATGTCCGGGCATGGTGTAGGCGACTGTGACGCCTGGGGGGCCAGCTTTCGGAGCCGCTCTGTCTGAAAACGAGATAAGGCATCAGCTATGCCGTTGTCTGCACCGCGAACGTGTTTTAAGGTTAAGGTAAAGTTATTAGATTGTGTTCGCACGTACAAAATGCCCTACGATAGACCATACGATATACGATAGGCTCGTGCACGTCATCACAGCGTACCCTTATCGGATCGTTTGACGATAGGAATGACGGTAAGTCGTGATCCTATCGTTATGCTTTCGTGGGCGTAACGTTTGTCCCTGCGAAATTGCAACCGCCTTAGCTGGCATATACTTGGTAATCCGTCCGCTCGATCTTGTGAATTCCAGAATTTTGATTGGTTGTTTCTGTATCCATGTACATCGCTGTGTAAACATAAAAGAAATGGTAATTTTTTTAAAAAACTCTAACGATTTAATTCAAAACCAGAACTCTTCCCACATCCTGTGGATTTATTTGGCGCCCGATTGCGAAACGATCTAAACGTCGAATTTTTGAGACGGATTTGTAGACTGAGTCTGACTGTTAAGTTATCGCGATGGATGCTGAGACAGGGGAATCTAACCAAGATATCCCTAATGTGCGCCCACTGAAGTGTCGGTTCAACGCAACCTCTGACCTGGCTCTTCTTGATTTAATCAAACACCACAATCCTTACGTCGCTGATAACAGGACTGCTGCCTGGAAAGACATCGTGCAATCGCTCAACGAGACAAAGGTAAAACTTAAGTGAAAACTAGTTGACTAGAACTGCATTTATTTAGATTTTAGCCGTGCAATGGTACGTGCAGCTACAGCTACCGTTTTGCAGATCTTCCCGAAACCTCTCACAGACAGAGCCGTCAAGGAACGGTTTGCAAATTTGGTAGCCTGGTTTAAAGTCCAGGATTTGCGGAATAAGAGCCGGAGTGGAAGTGAAGAGCAGTACGGGCGGATGGAGTCCCTTCTGACTGGATTGTGTGAACTTATTAAAGACTGCGAAGAAACAGAAGCGGAAAAAAAGCGCGCTGCCACTGAAGCACAAAATGAGCGGCAGAAAATCGCGAAACTCATGAAGAGTGCGGGCGAGCACGGCCGAAAAATTCCGACAGATGAAGCTGAACACTTAAAACTGGCAACTGGTAAGTATTCAGTACGAAATAATTTAAACGTACCCTTACGCTAAAAGCATTTATTCACCTTAATATTTATTAAAAATAAATTATTAGGTTCTGCAAACAGTATTTCCGTCCTATTTATTTGGTTATATTTTTATTAGCCTCTCATAATACTCATATTTTTCTGTTACAAAAAGTTCACAGTACACTTCTATGAAATATGGATAATTTGTTTTATGCCTTTCCAGATGCCGCATCCTCATCGGAATGTCTGGATAAAGTTGAGTGGATGAAAGAAACAGGATGCGATGAACAGGACTGGGAAGATGAAATCCGGTGTCGTGAAGCTGGGAAAAAGATTCTTGTGAAAAAAAGAAAAGTCTCGCCCAGCAAGTTTAAGCTTGGTGGATCTCCAAAAAAGATGGCGGAGAAAAAGATTCGCACGTCGCGCTCGAATGCTGCTCGCTCTCAACACGCGGAATCCGATGAGAAATGGCTCGAATATTTTAGAGATTCGGACGCCAAAAAACTGGATTTTGAAAAGACTAAAGCTGCAGAGGAATTAGCGATTAAAACAAAGTTGAGTGACGATGCAAAGGAGATTCGGTTAAAAGAACTTGAAGTGGAGAAACTGCGTCTGCAAGTTGAACTGAAAAAATTGGAGAACGAAAAATTACTGGAAAAAAATTTTGGGATGTAATTACTGCGTATTAAAAATCCGCTGAACTATTTTTAACGATTACTAACACTAATTACAATTCGTTGTTACTTATTATACTCATTAGTACTCAAACTTTATTCTCTCAAATATTCTTCCAGAAGTGGTGGCTCTAAATTAAAGTACTGACTGGCTTGATTGGGGTACAAGCAGTTTCTGCAATTTGTCAGTAGTACAGCAACCCTAAAAATCTTATTCACTGGTTTTTCAAAAATTTTCATTTGTTTTCTGTAATCTACGAAAGCAAACTCCTTGACAACTTCTTTGAACCCCCACTCCACTGACTCTCTTACTGTTGACATGGCTTCATTCAGGGCGTATTTTAAGGGATTAGTCGCTGTCTCTGTTTGAGAAAATGGTTTTATCAACAAATCTTTTCGGCCGTATCCTGAATCTCCATAAATGTAATAGCGCTGGTCGAATGAAGCTTGTTTTTCGCGAAAGTGTTGCAAAAAATTGCTTTCGGCAAACATTTTACTGTCGTGCATGGATCCTTCTTTCGCTCCAAAAAGGTTACCGATCATACCTGTTAAAAATATAATAAATAATTTAAGAATGTTTTTCCCTGCTGTGGTTCATTGCAATTTTATTGGAGAATGCTTATGTAAGTACCATTTGGAAACAGCACAGACTGCCATTTTGTACAGTGAAACCTTTTGTGGCCACTATACATAATACGCTGGTGTCTCTTCGGCCGACATATTTCTCTTGCTGTCCCATCAATGAATCCAATGACACCCGGATAGACTCCGCCTTTCGCTGTGATGGCGCGAGAGAACTCGTCAAAATCTCCCTGCGTTAGCCAAGGCTGATCAAGGGCAGAAAGCAGTCGGGACCAGTGACAGTCGACCAATCGCAACGTATGATAAAAAATTCGCGCCAGAGACCCATGAGATCGTCCCAAAAATATTCCGAAGATCACACCATCGATTGGGATACGACATCCTTCGTAACAAAATACACAGGGCTTCTATACCAGTACATCTATCTCGTTCTACAGTACGAACGAGATCCGGAATGCGCAAAGCCATCCGCAGGCGCTCAATATCATCCTTCCGCACTCGAAACATCCTCCAACAATCCAAATCCGAGAAACGGTCGAGATGAAACGGTTTTTCGACCCAAGCCTCCTGCTTTTCACGGTAATACGCTTCATCCTGTCTTCTTTTAAGGAGTCTTAATGCTATAAACTGCCTTCTGTCTATTCGCCCCTGATCTCAATAAATGGGCAATAATAAAGAAGCGCATTTTTACTCAAAGAAATTCGAATTCAAGTGTTAAAAGTGCTGCGACATCTAAGATCTTCCCAAAATTTAAAATGCGTGGTATATCGTACGGCCGCAAACAGTTGCGAACACACAAGTCTTCTCCGGTGCACTTCCGATGCGGTCGGCACCGGACCGTATATGGTTTACCGTCTATTGTGGCTGTACGGCGAACACAATCTATTGCAGTTACGACATACATACAGACATACAGACAGAAGGACGACATTTTTTTCATTTCTGTTGAATTAAAACATCGGCGCTACCGTCGATTAAATTTAATTAGGTACCTGTCTTGCCCAATTCTTTTTTTTCTCAATATCGAACTTCTCGATCTCGCCCTAACTTTTTGGCACCAGTGCTTCTTGTTTTTACTGTTTTATTTATCTATTCCTGCCTGGTTCGCTTTCCTGCTTTCTTCGAAGCCTCTGCTGCCTGGCTCAGATGGAACTCAGGTTGGCGTCACAAGTTAATTACCTGTTAATGCGCGTGGTTTCGTCGCAACAGCTTACAGCATACTGTAAGGTTGCCGATGCGCGCTGTTTGAGACGTGCCGCTTCAGTTTCTCTCATTGTGGGTTTAGTGCCGGTAGTCCAAATAGGAAGCCTCGCTTCAGAGTCACCTGCACGACTCAAGAAAGGCATCAGCCTGAAAAGACGTAAGTGCCTAGAATACTCAGTCTGGGCAAGATGTGCCTGTAATTTGTGGCGCTGTCGTGTATGACTATCGTGTAGTACAGCAACCGCGGTCTACGATGTATTGCTAGTTGTCGTGGCTGTTCGCTACATTACTGGGGTCAGGCAACAGATTGTATCAACACTGCATCGGCTGATAACGGCCCGTTTTCTGTACGGAAAGAGAATTACAGGTATTAAAAGGCCACGTTATCAGGAAAATGGTAGCTTGATTTTGTTTTTCGCTAATTTTTGACGGCCTGATCATCAACACCGCGCGCCGAACTTGCAGGAGACCCTGTACTTCCAATGTTCATAATTACAGCAAGAAAAGACCTTTGTGCCGTTACGGTGCAAGATCAGGCAGCTGATTAATTTTACTATCTGAGCGGAACCTTTACGGCTTTGTGAATGCGTACGATTGATCATTTTAATAAAACAACAGAGAAAGAAGACGACAAAATGTAATGATTGTGACCGGTTTTTTTTCGAAATCCCGAAGTACTGAAATTCCGATTTGCGGAAACTGGATCATTCACGCTGATTTGGCTCAACTTCCATAAATTTCTCGCTCGTTACAATATTAGCACGAAGAATACGGTGCTGTCACTGCTGCCGTATTATCACAACGGATTACTACTATGGGATATTATTATCACCGTGAATTAATACGGATTTACGCGGATTATTATTGTCACTGTGGATTACTATATTACATATTATCGATGTGGATTAATATTATCTCATGCCGCGGATTAATATCTTATTCTGCCTATTCTGGAGCCGTTTGTTCCCTTTCAATCGCGCACAGTCAGGTATTGTGCACTATGCTATCTTATGCATTGGACTGATTGATTAATACTAATTTTCTGGTACGTTTTTTAAAACCGGTTTACGATAAACATTGAGGCTGTTTTGCAATTACTCTTGATATATCTCATGCGTTACATTACGGAATGCATGGAGATGGGGAAAAGAGGCGGTAAATCAAGAGAGTCATTACCACGCCATTGCTGGTAATAATATAAGTAACGTTGATAATACTTATGCCGGTCAGTGGTCACGCTACTGAGCACTGATAGCCCGGCTGTTTTCGAGAAGTGCCATCTACTCGCTCGGGTCGCAACCAGGCTAAACCATTAGCCACTGTTAACGTGAGCAACTGGCGACAAATAGTGCTATACCGGTTTGCTGGTTCCTGCTGAGACGGCACCAGAACCTGAGAGCCGACAACAGTCGGTGTGAAAAAACAAACTTGGGATCGGAAGTTCGAACAGGTGTTCAAATCACACGTGTTATTTCTTGGTCTGTGTGAATAAATATAAGAAAAATGATTGCATCCTATTAATTTGCATTCGCTTTCAAATGGCGGGACGGTATTGAAATTGGGCGTTTGCAGGATGTCGGTTGTTTGAGAACGGGCTGTAGCAGGCACATCCAGTGCGCTGTACCGCTCAGCGTGACAGTCCCGAATGCCCGTGTAGCGGGTGTGCGGGAGCATGCCAGCTGGCCGTTCCCCTGCAAGCCGAACCCCTTTTTATTGTGAACAAATGTACGGTACAAACACATCACCGCACATAGGGCGGGTGGGTTGGGAAAACAGTTTGGACTTGCAGTTTGCGCTAAAAACCATTATTCGGAGCAAAGCTGAAGTCAAGTGTAGACATGTAATGAAATGCCGAATATGAATGATTAAACACATGCTATACAGCAATGTAAGGTAATACTCTACTATAGCATCATGTGTAGGATGTTGCCACGGAAACCAGCGGTGGGCTGTCTGGGAAAACAACTGCCGCTCATGCAAATTAACCGCAATTAAATAAATTTAATTTATCTTTAATTTGCATTCGCTTTCAAATGGCGGGACGGTATTGAAATTGGGCGTTTGCAGGATGTCGGTTGTTTGAGAACGGGCTGTAGCAGGCACATCCAGTGCGCTGTACCGCTCAGCGTGACAGTCCCGAATGCCCGTGTAGCGGGTGTGCGGGAAACAATGTAAACATGCTCCAGTATAACTGTTTTTCATAGGGTGACAGAAGGGAGGAGCAGTCGATGTTAAGTTTCATAATTCGCATATGATCGATAGTAATTGGTAGTCTACGATCAGAAACAGTACCGCGCAGACGCTTGTAACCAATGAGACATTGTGAAATATTCGGTGCATTGAACTCAAAACTGAGACCACATTCTCTGAATGCATTAAAAAGTGCTGATAAATAAACTTTAGCTGATGAATAAGATAAGCCGCTTTCGAAGAGAAATGCCACGTAACGTAATACGGTAGATTTAGTAATGTGTGCCGAAGACAGGCGAAACTTTCTGCAAAACTCAATAAATCTGTTTAACGCACTCTGATAAGTTTTCCGGGAAGATGTCGCAATATGATTAGAACGCAGTTTATTAATAGTTGAGTCAAGAGAATTTAATGATACATCAGGTGATAATCGTAAAGCTCGCGCAAGATATTTTCCGGCACTGGCGTGGGGTTCAAATCGGCATTTGGCGCTAACATGAGAAATCGATTTATCTGAAAACGGGACAAAGCATCAGCAATCTTATTATCGATACCAGATATGTGCTTAATCGTCATTGTAAAATTAACTCGTGCTGCTATGGCCACCATTCGCCGCATCAGCTCCAATACAATCTTGCTTCGCGATTTATAATTTTCCCACGCCTGAGATGCACCAAGATTGTCACAGTGGAAAATTACTTTTTTTCCTTTTAACTGTGATCCCCATAATGTAAGCGCTACAAGTATGGGAATGATCTCAAGGCACTCTATGGAAAATTTAGCGTCCAAAATATTAGGTGGCCAGCGTAGCTGAAACCATGCGCCGTTAAAATAACCACCGCACCCAAGCGTAGAAGAAGCATCAGTAAATAACTGAATCGCATCGCAGCGAGTCCAGTTAACCTCTAAGAATTCCGCTGTGCCGTTCCATTTTGGAAGAAACTCCAACCACCAATCAACATCTTTGTGGAAGTCGTCGTCAAGAAAAAGTTTTTCCGCATTAGTGACCGATGACAGATTAGCAATCAGCCTTCTCGTAAACAGCCGACCGACCGGCACACATTTAGACGCAAACATAAGAGAACCGATTAAGCTCTGAAGTTCGGTACGAGTACATACAGTTTTCGTCTTCCACATAGTGAGCATGGTCACCATTTCAGTCAGCTTGCCATGCGGTAAGCTAAGAGTTTGCGAAACCGAATCGAGAAGGATGCCGAGAAATTTTAGTTTGGTAGATGGGCCTTCGGTTTTTTTAGTAGCAAGCGGCACGCCCAACAAAGTGCAAAGGTCACTAAATTTAATCATCAGCTGAGAACAAAATGTGAGTCAGAAGTAGTGGCTAGAAAGAAATCGTCAACATAGTGTAACATGTAAATATGACCAGTTTCATGCACAAAGATCCAGTGTACAGCATCAGAAATCAGACAGAACAAATACGGAGAGGAACGCGAACCAAAAGGAAGAACAATATCAAAGTAGAAAAGACCGTTACACTGATAGCCAAGCAAATGCCAGTCAGCCGGTCTAACAGGCACCAAACGGAACGCATGCTGAATGTCGAATTTAGCCATCAACGCACCTTTACCCAGCTGGAGAAGGAGACGTACTGCATCGTCGACGCTACAGAATGTTAGCGAGTAATCATCTTTGTTGATGTAATCATTAACGCTTTCTCCAGTTGGGCGAGACATATCCATCAATATGCGGTATTTTCCATCCGGTTTAGGCCTGACGCCGAGTGAATTTATAACGAATGTACTAAATGGCGGAGTAATAAATGGTCCGACTGAATGCAGTAGTGAAACTTCCGTATCAATTTGATTTTGGAGGTGCTGTGAATACATACGAGCGGACGCTGCATTAGGAGTAGATAGAGTACGAACGGGACCGCGATAACCGATATCCGCTCCAGAACGCAGTACCTGCAGTACTAATGAAACGTACGGTCGATCCGGGTGCATTTTTAGAAAATGCGCAAATGCATCCGCTTTCAGTGGCGTAATGATGCTATTGGGCACCGTTGCCTGCTTTTGCTTTGCACTGTGGTTCGCGATGCTCCCGCTGACCGCAGTTGGCACATCGATGCTGGCGGCCGTAACGGCAAAATATACCAGTTGTGCAGTGTCCTTTGTTCCAAAGGTGGCAGACTTCGTCGATTTTAGATCCCCCGTTGCCGGCGGGGAGGTTGAGAAAAGACTGCCCAACCCAGGAGGTACGGCGGCTGCCGGCATTACTGCGCAGCAGCAACGGACATTCCGGTCGAATATGGCCGAATTCACTACAGTGGTAGCACTGGATGACGTTGGTTCGACTCGCACCAATAACGGGATGATCAGTATCATGCCCGACAGGTTGAGATAAATATTCTGTATAAGCATCATCGTTCTTTCGGGACCACTGCAAAACGTCATCAGGGTTGCGACAGACTGCAAGCCGAAACTGCCGGTCGTAAGCAAGCCATTGTTCGGTTGCAATGCCTTTCAGCGCGGCTGTCTGAGCAATGTGATCCATGTACTTAGACATCGGCAAGCTCAGTTCCGGATGCACTGCACACCGATACATTTTAAGAACATTAAATGCTCTGAACCACTGGTGGAAATCGCGAATCGGTTCGGTCTTTGCCGCGGATGCCTTCGACGTGGATGGTGCATGTGACATGCAGATGTTGGGCAAAAGGTCACTGAGGTTTACGAACTCTTTCTTACTGAACAATTTGTACAGCAAAGGTTTGTCAACGGGTGTCAGCAAAATCTTAACATTTTCCGGTAGAGAATCGAAAATTGCAGTCGCTTTACGGCTAAGAGTCGTAGCAGCATTACCGGTGAATGAGACGCCGGGATCATCGCTTACGGTTACTGCATTACCTGGGTCAGACACAGGTGATAGGTCGCGCAGGCGGTGCTGTAAACTGGCGGACTTGCCGGACTTGCCGGAGTTCTCGATTCGAACACGGCTTGATAACGGAGAAAACGACCGCACACTGTTGTCGGATGCCGGAACTACTGTGGCGACGGATGCCGATAGATCAGCGATCTGTTTCTTCAGTAGTTCTAATTGTTGTTCCATTGCCGATTTCTTTTTGGTGATACCGGGATTAGTAGTTGCGCTTCGGGTGCTTCGTCTTGTGTTGGTGACACCACGTCCGGATCCGCGAGGTCGCCCACGCCCACGATTCGAACTGCCACGTCGCCCGTCAGGTGCCATAATATGTGCGGGTACAGAGGTAGTGCAGATAGAAAAACACGAGATGATGTGTGCAGTATAGCAATACTCCGATCAGTTCAGACGAACGACTCAAACTTGCGATCTTGGACAAAACAGTTTGGACTTGCAGTTTGCGCTAAAAACCATTATTCGGAGCAAAGCTGAAGTCAAGTGTAGACATGTAATGAAATGCCGAATATGAATGATTAAACACATGCTATACAGCAATGTAAGGTAATACTCTACTATAGCATCATGTGTAGGATGTTGCCACGGAAACCAGCGGTGGGCTGTCTGGGAAAACAACTGCCGCTCATGCAAATTAACCGCAATTAAATAAATTTAATTTATCTTAAATAAAAATAGTACCATCTTTTGTCTGGGCTTTTGTCGGCAATCATTATAGACTGGGCATGGTGTCAGAGGGTGCAGGTTGCCGGAAAAATGATTGCACCCTATAAATAAAAATAGTACCATCTTTTGTCTGGGCTTTTGTCGGCAATCATTATAGACTGGGCATGGTGTCAGAGGGTGCAGGTTGCCGGCTTACCGGTTGCCGAATGGGCTCGTTTGAAACTGAAATGCTATACAGCACCGTGCACCGTGCAGGGGTGCACTAAACTGCTTGAACAATATCACACAATCAACCCGGGCGGTTGAAAGCGAATTTCGTCAAAAAACGACTGACTGTACTTCGATTACTGCCTTATATGGGATCCCCTCATATTACTCTCACTTACCGTAAAACCCGATATTAACGCCCTGGGCTTGTATTTTTTCAAGAGCTTCGGGAGGGGGCGCTTAAAACCGCAGGGGGCGTTTATTACGGGGGGGCGTCTAATATTTCAAATGATTAACGCGCCCCTGTTATTTAAGCATTAACGAGACTAGTATGTATGAACATTAAAGGAATAATTCAGTAAATAAGAAATCTGTTAGAAAATCATAGTTAAATGGGAGTGCATAGGTTGAATTTAACTAAATTAGCAAGAAGTACCATTCAGACTGCACCGACAACAGACTACAAAAGCGCGGGTTCGCAATTTTTTAGTCGCCCCGGGGCGATAATTTCGGGGGGGGGGGGCTTTTATTATTTCGAAAGCTTTGAGAGGGGGCGTTTAAAACCGCACGGTGCGTTAATTTCGGGGGGGGGGCGTTAATATCGGGTTTTACGGTATCTGGGCTCCCGAGTAATATGAGCAACCCTCTACATGGGCGGTTACGTTATTACTCACACTTTCGCAGCTGTTATTAGTGTTATTACGGACTGAAAATTTTGATTTATTTAAATACTTATTTTGCCAGCCACAAAGCCTAGTGAAATATAAGTACGCTAAAGAGTTTAAGACGATCCGTTTGATAAATAGATATAAGTAATATATATAAATGTAATTCGGATGTGAAATTTCGGAATTCTTTGGTATGCTCACTGCTAAATCCGGTTGAAAAAAAAGTGGAAAAGCGAAAAGCCGAAAAGGGCTCTGCTATAAATCCGATAAATATAATTTGACGGGTACTGCTAACTGGCCGGGAGCCCAGATAAGGGAGAGTAATATAAGGGGAGCCCATAGAAGGCAGTATTCGAAGTATTGTTTCATAATTTGAAATTATTGGTGAGTTTTCATAATTTTTGTCAAAAATATGACACCTGAGATTTTGGGGGATCCCTCCAAATCAGCCCAGTTCTCCCGTGCTCAAGGGGGAATGCCCCAAAATTTTAAGTGTTGTTTGGGCGACCGCTCGTGGTCGTGGATCTTGAGGATGCGAATTTCAAAAATCGTCCTTAACGGTTTTGTTCAGAATTTTTACGACGAATTTAACGGTGTTTTCAAAGAATCAGCAGAAAAAACTTTAGGAGGAAGTCACTTTTGAAAATTTAACGGGGTTCTCGATACGGGCCTGATAGTAACAGGGTTCTCGATTTTGGCAATGGTCGTTATCAACCGCCCGGGTTGATTGTATGATGCTGTTCCAGCAGTCCAGTGCACGCTTGCACTATGCATGGTGATGTATGGCATGGATTTGGCGCAGTGTAAAAAATGGTGCCAACTTGAGTCGACGATACAGTAAAACACTGTTTTGGCAGGCTATGTGACTGCAAGACAGCGAGCGTTAGACAGCTCCGTTCACTTTGCTTGTCCACGAAAGTTACGATACACCAGTCTAAAAAGGATCCGTTGTGGGTTAAGTCGTTACGTTTAGCGTCATTAAGCGCCGCACTGTGCGATTGTTTGTTATGGTCACTAAAGATGAAGAGAAGCATTCACGGTAAAATCGATGGGGTAGCGCCCCAAGTGGTCGCGGGACCTTTCGTCGTGGGACACTTCGCCACACGTTTTTCGTCGCAGCGGTTAATTTGTTTTGGGACAACTCGTTTTGCAGCCGTTTTACTGCGTGATATTTGGTCGGGTGACTTTTGGGGAATCGAAAAATTATCGGCATGTTATAACAACGAACAGGCATATGACTATTTGCCAAAAGAACGAGTTGTCCATGGACGAAATGTCCGTAAAAATAAATATCCCGTGACGACCTGTCGCGTACCCCATCGTTTTATTCGTGTATAAATAAGTACACGTACAGATTACGTTGTACTGTGTTTCAACAATGCCCGATGTATAAAGGGATTTTTCTAGCGAAACTGAAATATCCTTGTGTACCGTAGATCGTATTTCGTCAAACACGCGCCATGCAGTTTTGGAGTGCGGGTGTGAATACTGGTGCCGGGTGTTCACGTTTGAGAACACGCGTGCCGGGCGGGGATTTTCACGTTTGTGGGAATTTGTGACGATGGGGTCACGGTTCACGAATATAGCTAATGAATAATATACTAATACAAGTATAAAATTTGCAGCGAATGCACATAGACAAACAATCCCGGCATCAGCACAAATCCAATCTCTCTCCAATCTCCGTATTACGATCACACCGAGAACGTTTGCTTTGAATTTATGTCCGTTGCGAAATATGGCACGTGTACTTTTGAGTCGCAGCGGCAGTTCCAACTGTAGGCATTAAAAGATCACTTTATCGGGGAAAAAGGTATATCAAGTGGTTTTGCTTTTCGCCTAATTTTTGAGGGCCTGACCAGCAAAACCTGCTTCCGAACTAGCAATAGGGCACGTACTTTCTTTCTTTCTTTCTATATATAGTTTCTGTTACACCCTGGTCACGCCAAGTTGGCGGCATGGCGTTATATTTTTCTGCCGGGTCATGTCGCTCATGTTTTCCCGATCTTCGTAAAGTTTTTGGTGCAGTTTCCTTTTGCGCATTTTCTGAACATAAATTCACGAGACCTGTCGTTGTGATGCCGCGAAGAACACCTTCGGAAGGGAAGGCATCGATGGAACGAGTCGTGACAGTGGTTGAAAAGCATTAGTTCAACCCGAAAATCAGAAAAGACTTTAAACGCTTGGAACCAAGCTTAGTTGAATGACCATCACGAGAGCACTTTGTGAAAAAAAACTCAAATTCAACGGTTTGACCAAACCTGCAAAACGGCCAGGGGAGAAAAATCGTTTTTCCGCCCAAAACAGGCACTGGCCGAAAAAAATGATGGCGGTCGTTGAAATACTGTTGCTATGGAGCGTCGCGCGATTATGACGCCAATGGTGATAAAAAACTTAAAGCCCAACCCCTTATGGCTCGTACTTCGTGGCTCATGGTTAGGGAGACCTTACCATGGTTGCAGGGTGACCTCGCGAAAGAAGGCTTCGTACAGTTTGGCCACGCCTACAGTGATACCGCTGCCCCGCGCCCCGGCCCAGGAGGGGCTTCAACTTAATGGTGTAAAGTGTATCCCGAAGGGTCACTAAATGGGTAAGGCAGAAAATTTGGTGCCCTTTGAATACTGCATAAGCAGAAATTAAAAACGAATTTTGTTTTAGAGGAAGGCCAACACGGTAGTTAAACTGACCAGTGTAACATTAAATACACTTCAGTCCTTCTTTCGTATTAGTTCGTTTTTGGGTGGACCAAAATACAGCCAACGTATCAAAGGATTATGGTTCCTAGTAGATATAGGTATAGTTTAGTGTTGACGAATGTAACATTAGATACACTTCAGTCCTTCTTTCGTATTAGTTCGTTTTGGGTGGACCAAAATACAGCCAACGTATCAAAGGATTATGGTAATGAAGAACTTTTCATATTTACGAAAAATTTGAAGACAATGACAACCACAGCCGGCCCACAGCAATGCAGCAAAAGTTATAAAATTTCACGATTTTCTGTCTGTACTTCTATAATTAAACAGTAAGAAGGCAGTGATGTTCCGGCAATAATGCCCCCATGCCGGAAACCACTAAATTAATTCCGGCAATAATGTCCCCCATGCCGGACTCCACTAAACTCGTTCCTGCAATAATGTCCCCCATGTCGGGCACCATTAGATTCATTCCGTCAATAATGTCCCCCATGCCGGACACCACTAAATTCTTTCCGTCAATAATGTCCCCCATGCCGGGCACCATTAGATTCATTCCGTCAATAATGTCCCCCATGCCGGGCACCATTAAATTCATTCCGTTAATAATGTCCCCCATGCCGGACACCACTAAATTCTTTCCGTCAATAATGTCCCCCATGCCGGGCACCATTAGATTCATTCCGTCAATAATGTCCCCCATGCCGGGCACCATTAAATTCATTCCGTTAATAATGTCCCCCATGCCGGGCACCACTAAATTCATTCCGTCAATAAGGTCCCCAATGCCGAACACCACTAAATTCGTTCCGGCAATAATGTCCGCCATGCCGGACACTACTAAATTCGTTCCGGCAATAATGTCCCCTATGCCGGGCACCAATAAATTCATTCCGTCAATACTGTTCCCCATTCCGGACACCACTAAATTCATTCCGTCAATAAGGTCCCCAATGCCGAACACCACTAAATTCGTTCCGGCAATAATGTCCCCCATGCCGGGCACCACTAAATTCATTCCGTCAATAAGGTCCCCAATGCCGAACACCACTAAATTCGTTCCGGCAATAATGTCCGCCATGCCGGACACTACTAAATTCATTC